GGTAGGTAGTGCACGGACTGCATCATAACCGAATCCATTGTCATAGAGACTTGTTGAAAGCACCAACTGCTCCTTGTCCTAACCTTTGTGGACCGCAGCGTTTGTCAACTGAGAAGTAAACTCGTTTTAGAAGCCGTTCTGACTGTTGTCGGAAACGATGTCATCTTTCTAAAGCAGTTTACTAGTGAACTACATTGGAAAGCGGAGTTTCCACCCTGGACCGAGAAAGGCATCGTGTGGATAGAGAATTCCTGTCAAACCTTTGTTTTGCTAATGTTATCCTCTTGAAGAGTACCAGTGAGCCAGAGACGATACCAAATGAGGTCAAGGAATTTGGAAAAAATATTGGATTGCACATAAATAGTAGGAAGACCCTGTTCATGAAAAACTCATTGTGCGAAGACGAACAAATGAAACTGATTGGTTCTTCAATTGCAGAGACCAGCTCGTAGGAGTACCTCATGCGTTAGCTGAACATGAAGAAAAACATCAAGGGTGAATTGTCGAAAATAAGAAGGACAGCACAGATCGCGATCGGGCCTTTCAAAGAAGCTCCGACCAGTTAGAGGAGCTAAGCACCGACCCGCACCGTCATGCACAAGAGATTTGATTCATACTTCAACACATCCAGTGCTCCGGGCGCCACTGCCGGAGCGTTTAGCCAGAACACGCATCTTAGATATTCGAAACCTATTCCATCTTTTAGATATATGAAAATATACATTGGTAGCGAAGCGTGGATGGTCCGATCATATATTGGAAAGAGATTATTGGCTACTTTGTATGTTGTCTTCTTCGCTTCATCTTACCTGTCATATGGAGCTTTTTTAGTTGCCGCCGTTCAAATTTCAAACTTGTGCGTTAAGCCTTTTAAATAGAGTTTAAATAGCTATTGCCAAATGTAGTAAGATCAACAGATGTAAACAGATCAACAGTGCGATAACGTGTAAACTTAATACTTACTTGGTACCCCACTGATTGTGCAGGCTCCAGCATAAACTCCATTTTTCGGAGATTTGCTGGTTAAGTCATTTTGGTTTCCTGGAATCCCGAGGTCAGCCTGGCCAAAATCTACCCCTGGTCTTCACCACCACGGGCAGTCGCAGTCCTTGTGGATCATAAGGAGGTTTGTCACCGCGCGACTTTGATACCAGCACGGTGGTGAATCCGGGTCTTAGTTTATTTTTAGCCAGGCTTCCTGATGGAAACTTCAAACTCCTTCTCAGCTTGCGATACCCTGCCAGAGGATGAATCCCCAGCTGTACATCACAGTTTGACACCCAAGAACACCTCCCAGCCACGATGACGCGGTGAACATTTGGGAACAACGTGTAAACAGAAGTATACTAAGCAAAATAAGGAAGCGTGCATACAATAGCACAGAGAGCTCCGAAATGGATTGATATACTCTAAGGTTAGGGAGAAGTGTCATCATACTACTTATATGAATCCTAAATGAATCCGTCAAATAACCTTGTATTCCTGAGTTAACAGGGCCAGACTAACCTCTTTTCAAAACAACATCTTTTTACAGGCTAATTCGTACGGAAATACTACCTCACCATCCTCATCACGTGAACATCTTCGCCGGTTGTTTCGATTCAGGTTGAGTGCCTATTTTTTTCGGAAAAATTAGAGGCTATGAGGTGAAGCAAAACATAAATGACAAAAGATAAAGCTCTCGACTTTGATCTACCCCTGAGAGATGTGCCATGTATTCGACTTCATTAAGCATCATTGGAGGTGATTGAATACATATCTGGCCATTACAATAACTCGCGGTGGCCTAACGACGAATTTATCTAGTCAGTGCTCCTACATTCCCAGACAACTCTGGTAGTCGAATGCATACCTATCCCGGAGGTATGGAAACCTTGATGAGCCTTGGGAGCGGAGATCGGTCCCATATGTACTAAAGGGCGCTTCCGAACACCGCGCTACATGCTTCCTTTAAAACAAGACATGATGTGGTTGTTTCTTACGCATCTTGCTACTAGTTTACCTCCGCTATATATTTTCACTAGATGATATCGGCATAATTCTTAGCTTTTTATTTACCGTCTATAATTTTTGACAGCAGGGTATTACGTGAAATACAACCACAATTATGCCGATTGCCGATTTTTGCCCCGCAGATCAGTTGACAGATGTTTGCTGATGGCACCGCTCGGTAAAACGCTGCCTGAGAGAAAGGCAAAGCAAGGGCCTCAGTGATACAGTGGATAAAACATGAGACCCGGAAAGGGTAATCGCGGGTCCGATCTGGTTTAGGAACCAAATTTTGCAAGTTCTACATCATAGTGATATCAGTACCGTTTTTCAAAATGTGTCCAATCTTAGATTTCTATAAACTGAAGAGTATGAGCTTGACATATTTATCGTTTCGAGAATTGTGAGAATGATTTCTTTGACATCCTGAAAAAGTTTCAAGGCATTCCTGGATCACCATCACCACCGCAGACAGTAGATCATTTTTTTGGATTGCAGGGAGGATCGACTGGGATTCAAGTAAAGATGTCAGTTCAACAATTAACTAGGACTGGACGCTGCAAATGCTTTTCCTAGCCTGCTTTGCTTCAAATATTATTGGCGTTCTCCTCTTTTTAACCCTTTCTGCTCACTCAGCGCGAAGAAACGCCTTTTGTTCCGTTCCAAAGCCCATGTTTCTCACCACAACTGTAAGAGTGTTTAATGAGCCGTTCGTATTCAACCTTTTCTTGTCATACTGTTCAAACACTAGAAATCTAACCTGAACCATCTGTAGCGTGTATACTATGCTGTTGTTCGGATTTCACCCGCCAATGTTTCTCGTAAGAAAGAAGAAGAGTGAAAGGTTGAGACAATTGAGACCACATTGGACTGATCTTTTTTCTGGTTTATTACACTTTTGCATTATGCTAGATTCGACATATCCAAATTGCCCTTTATATTTCCTGCCTGCTATAATTTTTCACGGAAAGGTATGATGTGAATTACAACCACAACGGTGCTGAGATATTCCCAAAACTTGGACCCTGGGCAAGATCGAACCACGATTTCTCTTTCCAGGGACTCGCGCACTACACAACTGAGCTACAGAGGCCCTTACTCTGCTCTTCTCTAAGCTAGTTTTCTACCTAACGCTGCCGTCAACAATCACCAGTCAAATGCATGATTCAAATTCAAATGTCCAAATTATTTTCGTTGCTTCTTGTTCGCCTTTTGCAACGTGTTAGTTTATCACCAATGGTGATCAGCCTACGCCAGCAACCCTGAACTTAAATTTACTTCACCTACCCTTAGATACATATCTTCAGTTTTTTTTTTCAGCTTCATTTTCAGTTGTCGCATAGGAACAGCATTTTTTTGTTTCGTTGTCTTGTAACCGTCATCCACGTGGGAGGGAAGCTCTATATGGATTCTACCACGTCGCGAAGGTCTATCTTTTTCTTTCAATGTCATGTTGGAAGCAAGTAGTGATCCATTCCGAAAATTTTATTTGACCGTTCTAGTACGATGCCCTCACTTTACCACAAGCAACGATGGCCCATTACGAATTAGAGAAAAATTTGCTGCTTTTGAACTAGATTTGTCCCAAAACGAGGGAGGCTTGTCAACTGTCCTACCACAATTGACTACGGATGGAAAGAAGAATTAAATGATCTGTGGGAGAAACGAAAGCACTTCGGAAGGCATTCGAAATTAGATTGTGCGCTATCCCACATTGCATCTAAAAAATAATTTACATTTGCAAGATAATGGCGTAAGACGAGACTCCCCTTTGCTGGAGGAAATTACATCGTTTTCCAGAATTATGACGCTCCTGCAACATCTGCAGATGCTAAGTATGGGACCGAATTGCTGTGAAAGATGACTACTAATATCACACAGAAGGCTTTAGCACGAAGTAAACGACGAATTAGAGACCCACATTATAAATGGCGTCATCAAAATTTTCTGCAGAAGAAAAATACTTAAACCGTAGCAATGTCGCCAGAATGTGGAGCCACGGGATAACCTCGGTGCTTTACTGATATTCATGGGGGGGGTGACGCGTACAAGTAGACGGCAAATTCCGATTGGACCAGTATAGAGGAAATAGTATGAATTCGAACAGTAGTCACAAACGGGAGAGCGTGTAGGGCAGTGGTCGGAGCCCCTCCTGCAATACACATGGGATTGATCCCAGCGCTCCAGGCTCACCAAGCCCTCTATCCTTCCAGGGTCGGTAAATTGGTACTAGACTTGTCTGGGAGGATAGCAGCGTTGGCTCGATATATCGGTAGGCTACCGCGAATCATTATAACGGCCAGTTATTCATTCAATCACCTCCGACGATGCTTAGTGAAGCAGAATGCATGGTGCGTCTCACGGGGGATTGATCAACCCAGAGAGCTTCATCCTTTCTTTAGCTTTTTAATCACAAACGAGGAATTGATACGTTTATAAGAAACATCAATAAGAATCAGTTTTTGAGCAGTACAATCCATCCCAGAAAGGAAAAAATTCCCTTAAAAAATGACAAAATTTAAAAAGTGAAATCAACATAGTTTATTCAGCTGCTGTTGTAATTTACAATAGTAACAATAATTTAGAAGAATTTTACATAGGCCCGCACTTTGAAAGGTCAGAAAATGCGCGTAATCGAGAACAAGCTTCAAACTATCACAAAAGCGCGCAGGCTCACCGAAATAGCGAGAATTTAACAAAACTCCAAATATCCTAAGGGAAAAAAGTGGGCCCGCGACGAAATGCGTCACGTACCGCGCCGAATTTCCCACCATTAAATGGGTATCTTCTTGCTGAAGATGGCTGTAGTGGTGGGAGAATTCAGACCCGATCGAGAGGCGTTCGACTATCCGCCATCGGTGCGAGTGGGCACTAATGCACTGTGTCCCTACGGAAATCGCCAAAATCAGTAGCTGATTTTGTCACCAGCTTCAAAGTCATCGCCGAAATGTGGCACGACTCTGTGCTAGCGTTACAGTAGTCGTTCGACCGATCGAGTTTTTTTTATCTGATTATCCTCTTCGACTGTGCTTTAACAGCCCGAGCTCCTTGATTGCTTTGTATTGATCCGGAATTTCCATGAGAGCGTTTAATGCGAATGATGCTTCTGGATTTGGTGCGTTGAACATTACCTAAATATTTTTATATTTCATTAAAAGCCTAGCAACAGATAAAAGTCTTGCGGAAACATGCTGTCACGTTTCCAAAAATTGGCACTCTTCATGCTAAATTAAACACCGCGAAAACAGAAAAACTAGGAAAAACACTGCGAAAATTGGCATTCTGAGTTTCTGAAAGGTGTTTCGTGGAAATCAGTAGAATCTCATGACAAGAAATTGTGTAGGTACCACTCAGCAAATTCTCTTCGCTGTAACCTTTCGTAAGAACGAAAGACTAGAATTTTATCACGATGAAGTTGTAATCTGTGCTGAAGACTTATGTTTGAACAGATTGATAAATACTGGAACCTTATGGAAATCAACAAAGTGAAAATTGTCGAATAATCGTTTCGGAATGTTTTCGTCGAAGCGTCCCATCATATTCCATGGTCCGTCACCAACGCCCACCCTACAAAATTCAGAAAATTATTTCGGTTAGGATTACAATATCCTTAAATAAACCGGTGTAGAACTTCTTATTTAGTACATATTATTTTATTATGACATGGTATTGTGTGGAATACAACCACAGTGATCTTGAGATATTTGCAAAACTCAGACCCCAGTCCAGATTCGAACCCACGATTATCCTTCCAGGGCTTACTTGTTACCCACTACACCGACTAAGACTGCTCGAATCTGGCCTAACGTCTGAGTTCTGCAAATATCTCAGCATAACTGTGGTTGTAAAGTAAACCAGAGCACTTGGAACAGATATAAAGCTCAAAGATTTACATCTTCAGATGCTATTTGTAAAAATCTCTTTTTTTTCTTAAAGAACATCTTAAGGTGTATTTAGCGATTGAGCTTTTTGTTTTCGAAGGCTTTCGAAGTTCTCCAGCTGTTGCATATTCGAAACTCACATAATAATACTGAGTGGATAGTGTGAAGCGGCCGCGATAGCCTTCTGATTTATTTTCTCGTTCGTCACTTGGCCATCAGCGACGATCACCAAGATGTGGTAAGAGTGCTTCTCCTTACAAATATCCACCGCTCTTTCTGAAATATGTGGAGAAAGTGCCATGATACCTTGCTGTATAAATCCTTGTGTTCTAATTTTATATTAAAAAATCTCCATTTTTCGTAGACTTCATGTCGAACCAGAAAATCTGGAAGAGTTTTGAAACATCAAAAAATTTTCTACAACAATACTTGCTTGAATACTTGGATGGCCCATCTTCACTGGTTGTGCTGGTCCCAGCATAATCTTTATTTTTCGGACCTTTGTTGGCTTGATTGTTGATTGCGGTTCGCTGGAGTACCGAGGTCAGTCAGGCCAAAATCTGCCCCAGATCCTCACCACTACAGGAAGTCTCCGCCTTCGTGGATCAGAGAGCGATTTGCCACTACGCGACTACTTTGACACCAGGGTGTTGGTGGATCCTGATATTGGTTTACCCTTAGCTGGGCTTCCCGATGGAAACGCCGGACTCCTTCTCTGTTAGGGATAGCTACCAGGGATATGAATCCCTCGCTGTACATCGCGGCTGTAAACCGTTGGGAGGTTTTACAACAATGCTACGATCATGTCGGATTGGGCATTTCACACGTTAGATTGAGTGAATTTCTGAATTTCTAGGCTTTCATTTGTAGGAAACAAAAACAGAAAAAGTTTCTATTCTACCGTTTTTAAAGCTCTTCCACAAGTAATAGAATTTTTATCCTTTTTTCGTGAGTTCGGAGAGGGAGAGACATTTCTTGAAGAGGTGAAAAAGTGGAAATGCGATCTCAACTGTACAAAATGTCTTACCTATCAATGGAACGAAGTTTGTTGGTCCGCTCATCATCACTTTTGGTGTGACTTCGTTGTAGATTCTCAACACCTCTGGAAGGCGAATAACTTGAAGTTGCGAAATTTTTTAATATCTAAGTGTTTTTTAAAAATCTGGTCAAAATGTCAATCAATAGAAGAATACTGAGCTTGTAACGTGCATTGAACGCTATCTTTTATTGAAAAGAGCTAACCTTCAAAACCGTTACAGTCTTTGTCTAGGTTGTAACGATCAGCAATGTTGAATATTCCTTTGTCAGTGAACTCCTCATCACCAAATCCATAAGCGGGTATCATCCCGTCAGCATCGAATGACGAAAGTGTCTTGCCGACAATTTCAATCACCTGGCTCATTCAGAGTTTTGCTTTTGTTTGCTTTTTTCCCAACCATTTGCCACATAAAGTTTATTCTGAAGCATCAAATTCATGGTGTTGATCAGAACTATTGAGAATTTTCGCGATAATCCTTTCTGCATTCTACTAGCTGGTAAATAGGGTAGTGCTTAAACAATCATCAGTTTGCTTGCTACAGAGCTAATGAGAGGTGTTAGTCGCTTTTGAACGGATAACGAAGCGGTCAAATTTTCACTGCTTGTGGTCCTAGGATATTAAACCAGGAAAGTTTGCAATTATCAGTCATCGGCCTTTCATCGTTGCCTGCAAGGTTGTTCACTGTAGAACGATGAACAGAGAATAAACATATGAACTAGATAGCGTCCACCACACCAACCGAGATCCATGGCTAACAGAAAGACAAAGCAAGGTCTGCGATGGTACAGTGGACAACCGGTGAGTCTCGGAAAGGGTAATCGCGCGTTCGATGTCCAACTGAGGCTCCGAGTTTTGGTCGTGTCTCAGTGTTCTTATGATTGTATGTTACTCAGTACGCTCCCATGGCAAATGAATTGGCCGTAAATAGAAGTTGAGACATTCTGAATTATTTACTCGAAAATTGAACTGTCGTAGGAGCACGGATAGCCGACGTAGCCTACAATTGTGCAAATTTGGGTCAAACTTATACAGCCTTAGTTTACATTTATACACCTTTGGAGGACAAAAAAATATCACAAACCTTTAAACTGGGAAAAGTGAGCTATAGGAGATGCTTATCAGAGTGTCAAGGAACAACTGACAAGTATAAAGGATACCCTTCTCCGTGTTAACATTATACAATAGTTCCACTTAGACGTTGTCCTTTCACTTAAGCACCGGAAGCATGAACAGAATTGTACAAAGTAACGCAGCATTTTAGTCTTGATTGCTTAAAAGTTCATCCGTTTTATTGAAGTACACAAAGACTGGAGACCAGCTGTAGCGCAAAAGTCAAAGGTGCGCTACAGTCCATATGTGGCCGTTTGTTTGATTCCATACACAGGCTTAACCCATGTCTTCTATTACTCAGAGATGGGAAAACTGGCAGCGGACTTGTATGGAAGGATAAAAACACTGATGTGATACATCAGTGAGCCAAGGGAAGTCATTGTATAAGCCACCTATGCATTCATTTACCTCCACAATATTCACTGAAGTCGAATTGCTGGCGCATCCACAAAGGACTGACCAATGTAGAACTCTTTATCCTTTATCACTTTCAACAAAGATGCTTGTTTTTTTTAACTTATTGTTTACTACCCACTCTTTTTAACGGCAGGGTATATATTGCGAAATATAACTTTAATGATGCTGAGTTATTTGCAAAACTCCGGTGTATGTGGTGGGGAATGAACGCCCTATTATCCTTTCCGGGGAGTAACGCGTTCACCACCACACCATGCGGGTCCTTCGTTTCGCGTGTCTCTCAGCTAGTTCTATTGATCTTGAGTTCTATTGAAAGATGCTTGTAATTTCTACCTGTTGGTACGGATTCAACTCGCCACTCGGATCTAAGTAATGCAGTGTACGACCGTCAAACGTTCGCTCTCCTTGATAACAGTTGGACTTTGTGTAGTCAATGCCGAAGATAAGGTTGGAATATTCGAGGCCTGCCTGAAAGATTGTATAACTTCAGAATTGCTCCCTCAATTCACTGCTTCTATTGATTTTTTAAAAAATTAAAAGGCTTTAATTGTATTTTTAGTGAGTTTTTTCAAACCTACTTCTATTTAACCTCGGCAGAAGAGTAAATAATTTATTTTATTGATAAGACTACACGATGCTACTATAAAAAATCTTTTATTGTCACCAGCATTTCTGCGCCATCGCATTCTTTAGAACCGCTTCGATTAGAGTTGAGTATGTAGAGCCTTTAATCATAGGGTAACTACCGTTTATTAAGTGTGTTCCACAAGCTCGAAAGTTATCCCGCCTTGCACACCGAGGACTTTGAGTAAGGCGTACGCAGTTCAGCAGGCAGGATTCCGACAGATATTCTGCTTCCTGGAGCGCACCCGAACCAACTTCCAGGCTATAGAAGTCAGCTTGGTATACCACCTGTTCCTTTTTCTAGCCTTTATCCACTACAAGAAAGCGTTTGGCATTGTTGAATTGAACGCAATCCTATTAGTGCTCGTCGACCAATGACAGACCCCATTCTGACCAAAAACTATGGCTGACTGTTATTGAAATTGCATCACGAAAACACAGATTTTCTACCGACACTTTACTATCCCTCCAAGGAAAGGGGCCTGAGAAGGTAACAACACTTTCTTGTCCTATTTGTTTACTGTCACACTGCAATGAGTAATGTTGTTGGATTAGGACCTAAGGGACTACCCATTAATAGTAAATTCCTGTCAAATCTTCGCTTCGCTTATGACATCATCTTTTCGATCAGTACAAGTAAAGCGGAGATGGTCTCCAAACCCACTCCATATACATGCCTTGCGCATTCATTGAACATGGAGAACAACATGAGTGAGAAATACGCAAAAGAAAAAGAGCAGTATAGGCCGCGTTGACGGGTCGCATGGAAGCTGATTTCGATTCAACGGTACTGCCAGCGATATGTTATGCATCAGAGAAATGGATTGATATCTATCCTATCTTTGAGATTTAAGAGGATATATATCGGCAGCGAATCATAGATGACCTGGCCAAATAAGAACAGTAGACAACGACTGGAAGAAAAGAACTATGAAGTGGACTCTAAGAGGATGCAAAAGTCCTCCGAGACGATCACATGATGTATCGAGGCGTTTGTGGTTCACCCCGACCATCTGCGTTCACTATTGCAAACGATTTATGGATCGCCATATGCGGCGTGAGAACTTAACCAAATTCGAAGCAGACCAACACCATGGGCGATAGCTTCGCAAGAAATACAGGATGGATTTGCTAAGGCCCACTTTGCTGATGAATGCGGACACGCAAGTATACAAGTAAGTCAGCTTTGGAGAAGGCATATAACTTCACTTTTCTAATAATAGTAATAGATTTTTTAGATTGCCGTAATTAACCTTTGTCTACTCTCGCTCCCTGGAATGTCTCTATGGCTTAGTTTCAAATGAAGTGAAAACAGTATTTTGAATTTATGACTATTTAAAATTCTGTGCGCCAATAGTTTTATAACACTATCACTCACATGCTTAATTGCGCGAATGATATCCTGAAGAGTTTTGAAATGTGGAATATTGTGCGGACTGCCCATAGCCAGTGCTTGTAGAAGACTGTTTCGTCGCATAGGAGCGCTACAACAACACTAATAGCGGCAATACTTCGACATGAAATTGGCCCAAGGTTTGGATAATCCGAAATATTTGGTTTAATGGATGTTGTTGCAATGAATACTGAACACCATTCAACTAATGTGTCCTACTGTACCGTCATACCTTAAGCAATTTTAGTCAGTCGAGTTTTAACCTGAACTTGACTGACTTCTAGAAACACCAAAAACACTACATCTCGAAAAGTACAGTACTGACAAAGAGGGCGCTTCGTTACGCTTCAGTTCACGATGACGATGTTCACGTTCCTTCTTCATCGGTTTCTTAATAATTGACGGCTTTTGAAACGCTGGCTCTATGGTCATTGACATATTCAGGTCGAGACTATGATCGATCATCTCCATCGTTTTTTCAGTAACCTCCGAAGCAAAGCTGACCCTAAATTCAGCAACATAAAGCATAACGGTTCAAACTGAGGGATTATCATCGATTGGAAAAAATACTCTAAAAGCTATTCGTCACTCATGCATACAACTACTTCTTATTTTATTTTATTTTGTTTTATTTTATCTTATTTTATTTGATCTGTCTTCACGTCTACTCTGCGGATCCCAGCACTTCTCACATTCGATTCGTTTCCTCGCAACCACTGCCCACGAAGATCTTCCAACTTTAACGTGTGGCTTCGGTTGCTGCTTGAGGATTTGCACTTCATCTTAAATATTGTAGAATGATGGTCGAGCAATTCTCCCTGGAGTCCTGAGATAGCCAGGGTGAAGCGTTCCCAACTGGATTGAAGAGAGTGATATTTTCCCAGAGAAGTCCGGTACCAATTTCCCGACCCCGGAGGGATGAGAAGCTTTGTGGGTCTGGAGCGGAATCGAACTAGCACCATGCTCGTGATGACGGATATCACTACCACTGTGTTATCCATCCCATCACTGTGTACTGATAACCATTGATATAATAGTTACCCGCAACTACTTAACATTGTAGATTATTCATTTCTACCAATATTAAACACTACGTAAATCGTGCAATCTACAAGTTCTCTGAAGTATTTCCGTTTGGCGACCTGAAATTCAATTCATTATAGTTTATAGAAATTTTTCATATGGAAATTGCCACTACCTGGAAGGGGTGGGACAAATTTGGATCAACATCATAGCTTTTTGCGAAGGTTTTGTAAACGTTCACAAATTAATCAATTTTGAGCAATATATACATTTGCTACTGAAGAGCAGAACATTATTTCGTAGTGGAAGTGACGTTTCATAACAAATTATTGTGATTGTTTAGAATAGAAATATCAATTCCTGTGCACTTTGCCTGTGCTCGCGACATGGACCACTACGTTAAAGACGTACTTATTGACAACGACAACGAAACCATCGATATATACTTTCTATGATTATGTGGTCGAGTCGGATCAGAGCACAGGTTGGACCAAAAACTTTCGGGAAAAAAAGCAAAAGTTGCAAAACCGTACCGCTTTTCTTCTTTCCTGCGTTCTTCTGACTCGTCCACAACCGTCTCGTCGACGCGCAGGTGCACCTTTTCCAGAACCTGTTCGACGTGTATCATCGATTCTGATACCGACTCTGTATGTAGTAAAACGGATGAAGTCTCGCGCGAAGGACGCTTTACGACGCCCTCTACTTCCACCTCCACCATACGCGCACTCATTGACAATTGTTCTGTATTAACCGATTCATCGCGCGAGGCCTGCATGTCGACATGCAAACCTGAATCCTTGCACAACTCTGAACCTACAAATGTCGTCAGAATATCTGTCGGTTGTTTCTGATAGCTGTAGTTCAGATGGAATATGGTTTCTTCACTACATTTGGATACGAGTCCTATAGGTTCACCAATACTCGCCATGGATCTGGTAGCTGTTACGTCTTCTGCAGCAACTCTCCTACACAGCACGTCTTTATTAGCCGTAAGCGAAACATCTTTGGCTGCTTGACAATTAAGTGCTGCTCCGCCTCCATATCTCTGTTCCTTCAAGATTGATTCTTCGAACGCACTACTTGACTCCTTGTGAAGTGCATAAATTGCAGCGATAACATTTTCACCAGCTTCTTTAAAGTTGTGCAAAATCGGTTCTGCAGTATTTGATGCAGTTTTTGTAACCAAAGACGATTCTTCTGAAGAACGGCCACAATCGAATACAAACGCACAACCAACAATCTCTTCTAACGCTGCCTTCAGTGACATGTCAACAGTTTCTTCTCTCTTAACCACCTTCTTAATTTCAGAGACACCTTTATCGTCTAACCTTGTGAACTGAGAAGTGATAGCAATATGATTCTCTTCAGAGCAGCCAGTATTCACTTCCACAGCACCACCGTAAGCAGCCACTCTCCTGACGTTTTCTACTTCATGATGATTTATTTCATGGCGAAGATAGATGTTTACAAGTTCCTCCACAAAAGTAGATTCGTAGGTGGACATGGTGACTGGTTCACCTAGCCTTTGCGTATCCCTCTTCGTTGAGGATCCTTCAAATTGGGAACTTTTTTGCAATTGACAAGTGACAGCAATAGCGGAATCTTTAGTAGCGCAAGCGAACACCTCCACAGGTTCTCTCTCATTGCGAAGAAGCTTACAGAATGTGACATCCAAAAGATCTATTCGTTTCTTTATCCATTCGGCGTTAACTAGTACCGTTTCTTGACCAGCATGAGCAGTAGAAAGTAGGAATTTGCCGCCCTCTCTAGGAATAAGGAATGTCTCTGAAATGGACATTGTACTCTCATCGCGTTCATAAGATAAATTAGTACTTTCAGAAACAAGCTGAGATTCGCGCATTTCTTTCATTACGCCTGGAGTACTATTAGCCGCCTCCTTCATCTCTTTAACTGATTGAGCATCACCTACTCGATTGAGGCCGAAAATGCCAGAAGTTGACGCTTCCTTGGAGCATTCGCAAATGAGAATAGGATTTTCGACAGTGTTTCGAACAGCGATAACGATCAGAGCATCGAAGTCGAATGTTTCTATGCTCTGAAGCGCTGATTCGACGATGGCGAGTGATTCTCCTGAAGCTTTGCATGACAAAGTGCTCGGTGCAACTGTGAATGCAGTGAATTTAGTAGAAGCTGTGTCTTCTTTGCTGTTCTTTTTGTGTAACTGAAGTATGATGTTTTCGACGACATCACTTGTTTCACTAACTCGCACTTTTGTATGTTCACCAGTATGGGGCTCCTTAAGAACAATTTCTCTTATCTCGTGACTTTCAGGCCTTTTCCAAACCTCGTTAACCGCTCGACTTTCAAAGCTCGAGGCGTAGGTCGACAGAGAACTTCCAGGCGCTTTATTTGCAATAAACACGATTTTTTCGGCATGCACGAGTGCTAAACGTGTGGCAGCAACCAGCGTGCCATCGGAATCAGATGAGCACTCACGGCTATACTTGGTGTTTAATGATACCGCGCCACCTTTTCTCTTCTCTTTAACGGTTTTCTCAATTTCCTCCTTATCTGCGTCGCGCCTGCAAGTACAATTCATCACTTCATAGTTATCTCCAGCTTCCTTGAAAGTAGCCGAACCAGAAGTAATGTTAGGCGCAGCCAGTTTCTTAGAAATTGTGTATTGGGATGCTTGCCGGGTCCATTGCCTATCAACAACACGTGTTTCAGACGAGCTTGCCAACGTGGAGAGTTTAGCTGGGGTCACGCCGTTGCCTATAACTACCACTTTAGAAGCAGATAAATCAGTTGATCTTGGACAAAGTAGTGTGCCCGCCATTGTAGAAGAGGCAGTACTTGAGGCTTTGGTGGAGAGAGTTGCGGCTCCTCCGTATCGCTTCTCGTTGACTAATATCGCTTCACGAAGCAATGCATCAATGCGTCGAAGGTTCGCTGTCGAAATCACTGATATTTCCGCAGATTCCATTGCAACGAAAGTTGTTGCGACACCTCTGTTTGGAGCCGCAAAAATCTTTTGAGCAACCTCCATATCTGAAAGGCGACTTAGGCCCCTGCTGATATCTAAATGAGCGGTTTGCGACGAATATGCATGCAGTTCGATTGGTGCGCTTGTGTTAGCGACAATAATGGTGGTGTTTGCGTCATACTCAGTGACAACTGGTTTGACAGCATCAACATCGATGGTCCTCGACAGTTCACTGATTGCCTTTGTTTTTAATGCGTATCTTCCTCCATGCCTTGCAATGAAGATCGTTTGATCTAAATCAAATTTGTCGTTGGTTTTGTTAAATACTGGATGGATATTTTCTACGAATTCCACGCTTTCTTCCACTCTCATTTTAGCGCTTTCTGAGTTTTTGGCTACAACTTGCTTCGAGGTAGAGTAATAGATATCGTCACGTTTCCATACTCGGTCTATTGTCATAGTCTCACTAATGCTAGCCTTTGAAGTTAAATGTTGAGGAGATGTGATATGTGCAATCACCACTCTCCTTTCACAATGCATCACAACTTCTCGCACCTTCTGCAATTCTCTGGTGACGGTGAACTCGTGCTCCTCCGAGGCATCGGTTCTCAGCTGGAATTTCCCTCCGAACCATGGGATCGCGTATGTCTTCATGATGTTTTCTTTCATTGATTCTTTTTCATATTGTTGATAGACGGTGTGCTTCTCATCACGACACTCTCTGACCGTAACCACTGTGTTTGACCCACGGTTCACATCCTTATAAATTAGTGTGAAAATCTCTTTCTCATCCACTCTGGCATAACATGTGGCGAAGCTTATCAACACACAGGTAGCTGCGGAAGTTCTAACTGATGCTGGTTCAGTTTTGTTAGTGTCTCTAACAACGAGTGAAGCCACAGCAAATTCTGCTTCTCTGGTCACATACGGGTTTGATTCAACACGGATATCTTCGGCAACATCACAGGCAAGTAAAATTTCCTCATGTTTTCGAGGAATTTCTTTCGTCTTATCGATAACACAGCGTGCTTCCTTGCTAACGAAGCTGAAATAAGTATTTGCGAATTCTTGCAAACTCTCTATGAAACGAGCTTCGTGAGGAATCAAGTCATTCGCACAAGCTGTGGTAGTACTTGTGCCTTCCATTTGCATTGTTTTCTCATAGCTAAAGTCCACTGTGATGGCTTCAGTGGTAGCTGCGCTGATTGTTGAACTGGCTTCTAACCGACTTCGTTGTATCTGCTTATGATGAATAGCTTCCATTTGAACCCTCTGTGTTAATGTTATTACAGCCATTTTGTCCTCTGTCGTAGGTGATTTTGTTTGGAGGTAGTAATTGCCTCCAAAATGCTTGTCATTCCATTGATGGCATGAATGTTCTAGAAGTGGCAGAGTTTCATAGGTAAGTCCCACAACGACGGATTCTTCTGCACTTTCCAAGCAAGACAGATGAGCGATCGTGCCTCTATTGCAAACACTGATCACCTTATCGAAATGCTCGTGTTGAGGTTTAACTAGCCAACTAGCACATACCACCTCTTCTGCTTCCTTACTTTCAGAGGTTCCTACTGCAAGAACACAGGTCCTTGGGATGGCTATACTATATTCGACAACTTCGTAGAAATTTTGTTTGCAGTTGATTTGCGCAAACGATACAGCATGTTCGTCTCCAGACTGCTCCGTCTCTAATACAGTTCGATGTCCTTTATTTGGTACATGCCATTCACGAGCTATAGCCTCCACACCTCCTTTTGCTCCCAGTAGTTCTACCGTTAGACGCACCACTTCGTTGGTGCTCTCCATCGTCTTCACCTTTGTGGGTGCGATGATATTCGCTGTAGTGATTTTCTTGCCGACGGTGTATTGCTCTGGCGTCTTCGATATATTATGGCTGCTCCAGACAACGTCGCTCTCCACTGCATGTGCCTTGATGTAAAGAGGTTGTGCTGAAATGCAGATCTTGTCTTGAAGACATATCTCTCGTATTTGTGTCGGTTTTTTCAAATCAAATTTGTGCAAGTTAATCACGGCAAAGAATTTGGCATCACCGCATTCCTTCAATCTCCATGACTCCTTCCTAAACAGTTTTTGGGGAAGCACAGTCTCAGTGATGAAATTTTCGCTTGCTCTTTTGTTAAATGTTGACTGTTCAATACGCTCTTCCATAGAAAACTGTCTAGATATAGTAACAAGCGGAACAACTCGTTGCATGACAGTGGTATGTAGTGACTCGTCGGGTAGAATCATTACCTTTGTCAAAGTCTGAACCTCTTCAGATGTCTCGAATGTGGCAAGACTAAACTTTATGTCCAACTTTTTCGGTAAAGATACCTCTGTTTCAAGATCTCGCTCGACACCTTCCCACTTTGATAAGATTTCTACCATTCCATCCCCAACTTCTCGAAGTCGTTCACTACTCTTTTCTTTCATGAAGTGCGTCCTTTTTATCACTATTTCTGAGTTTCTGTCATTACAACTGTAGTAATCTGCTGTTGTACTAGCGGTGATATCTGTTGCATGTCTCGTACAGAGTCTCACTTCTTCTTTTCTACGAATCTTTGGCACTATTTCTGCACTCATTGTTGGGATCGATGATACAACAGCTACAATGGCCTCACGGCTCTCATCACTAGCAGCTTGAGTGGCAAAAACTTGCTGTAATGAAGCGGAAATGCTCACGATATGATTACAAGTCTCTTTAGACTTAGGTAAAGTTCGTCGTATCAGGGTGATTCCGCTGTCGCATTCAGCACGACCATATTCTCTGAACGATCTCCGGATACCAGACTCTCTGTTGATTTCATCTACTAGCTGTTCTATTTCTTCAAAGTCCTTACTTAGGTTCTCGATCTGAAGAACACGGTGCTCGTGATCGATGGAGAACGATCGTAGCTCCTTTTCAATACTAGCCGTGGAAATGGATTTCATTATACCAGCTGTTGTTTGCTCCTTACAGATCTGCTGCTCGCTAGTTGCATCTATCGTTGAAGAACCTTTCGTTATAAAATCATAACGTGCACCTAGTGCCTCTGCCTTGGTGATCTCAGCTTCTAAATCGCTTAAAATGGTTTGCCACTCAGATGATATTGACTGGAGGTTCCACTCTTGTGCTAAAAGCTTCTTTTCAGCTCTTTCCTTTGTACAAGGCTGGAGCTTGATTGTTGCATCCTCCTTGTGCCCTGATTTGGAGTAAAGAGACGAGGTAGTGGCCGCTTCAGATGTGCTTGCTTTTAGGTTCAGCAAAACATTGCTGTCATTCACCATTTCTACAATTCTCTCAGCCTCCGATGGTTTTGAAATCTTTTGAAGTTTTACCATAACTTCCACTCGTCTATCACCCGACTCATTGCATTTCAATTGTTCGAGCCACTGACGTGCAGTAGGGTTGGAGCGTTCAACTTCCTCGATCTCGTGTTTTTTCTGGACGATCTTTCCGAATAGTGTGCAGATTTGTGTTTCTTCGTCGCCGTATTCGTGATATTTTGCAGATACTTGTTCCTTTATTGTCAGTGCTTTCATACTTTCAAGCGTCTCCTCTTCGTCTTGACGTTCTAGCAGTTTTTCAGACTTTACCATTTGCACCTCAAATTTCCGCTCTTCGTTCTCGTTTTTCCTTTCTGGTATACGGATGGATGCAAGTTGCCCCGTATCATCTCGTTCTACGTTAATCTGCGATTGAACATTTATCTCCGTGCTTCCATGTAGATTTGCTTCCAACTGTTCTTTATTGTCAATCACGATAACTTGCGATGTCAAATAGTCGTTTGTATGTGTGTTATACTGGGAATAGGCCAACTCGTCTTTCGGTTCAAAAATTCGACCAGTGTCCTGCATTGAAATACGACTTCTGGCCACAAAATCAGCTTTAGCTGCCTCGTCCACGCGCTGGAGCTTTAAAGTTGAGCTCAATTCTGCATTTTTTGCTGCAAGTAGACTTTTATGAAGCTGCTCTTGGTTTACAGCGGTGATCAATTTCAATCTGTTTTCCTTCGCATCTTCCTTTTGGATGAGACAGTCCGTTGAAGTTGAGATATCCTTGGAAGCTAGTGTAGAATGAATTTGGACAAAATTCCTCATATCTGGCATACTCTTGGCAGTTTCCTCTTGAGAAACTTGTTTTACTTGAAGCCTTCCGAGGGTTACGAAAGTTGTTACGCCGTCGTCTCCAAATTCATGGAACAATCCACGATTCTTCAACGTCGCCACATCTGCAGCTGTATGCATGGTATGAGACACCGAAGAGCTTCTTTGGAGAGAGAAGCTTTTTCGAGCCTCATCGACGCTCAGCTGTAGAGCAGCCGAATCCTGTATATTCAATGGTATCTCCAAATTTCCATGACGTGCTGGTCGTCTCACTGTGAGATCTAAGGTCGTTCCTACATCTAGGTCCGCTACGGCCTTCGTGTAGAGCTCTGATGACTGTTGATCTGCGTCCTTCCAACATATAAGTGCTGTTTGGTCAGTTTCAATGATGTCCCATTGAGTCGTAAGTCCTTGGACTTCGGAAACAAACTCTTTGTAGGACTGTGAGGACAGTGCTTGATTATGGATTGAGTGAAACTGGCGGTTAGTCCCAAGTTCCTGTTCACTCTGAGTTATTTGCTGATCTAAATTGGTTCCCTCGTCTGAAGTAGCCTTGAGACAGCCGACACTCATTGCTCTATGAAAATCTGCAAAGTTCTTAAATGTTTGAGCATGCTCCATTTCCGCCGTGATGTCGCATCCGATCTCTGCAATGTCTTCAGTTGCTGCATGAAGGTTCTGTTCTAATGACAACGTTTTCGCAATTTTTCTAGTTACTTCATTGAGTTCTTTCTTACTTTTAGGTCCTTCTATTCTGGACATAGACAGCGTGTGCATGGTCTCCTCGTTGCCGTACTCACGGTGATCACTGGATTGTTTTTCCTCATGGAAATAGGTGTGTTTTCCTACAATATCAGCCTTTTGCGGTAATCCTTCTAGCTCTATGCTATGTTTCCGCTCGCTGATTCCTAAGCGTCGCGTCGCGCTAATTTGCCTACGATCGTCAACGACTTTCGATGCATTGCCTACTGGCGTCATTTGTAGTTCGCACAACGCCTCAGCTACAGTTTCACATGTTGCTGCTACAACTTTCATTGCTCGTTCCGTTTCCAAAGCACGGTGCCCTAGCGTTATTTCTTTGCCTAGTTCGGTGTCAACAGTCCTAGATATCACACTTACTGCTTCTTCTGTGCTTTCTTTAGATTTAAACGCGCCTTCCTGCTTATCGCTGTCCACCAAAAGTATCAGCTTGCCCTCGCATTGTTCTTGTTTGCTTCTATCTACCTTTGTCGCTATTAGGTGTTCTTCAGTTGCTTTTAATTTAGCTACATCCAGAAATACTGGTTTTTCTGCTACTATTTGTTGCACAGACACGTTTTTATCACTTTTCACTAGTATTACTGGTTGATCCATAAACTCTTGGCTGGCGCTTTCCATCTTCTCAACAAGGCGAATTGTATTAGTTGTCTGCAATGACACGCTTTGTTGTTCAAACTGTTCTCTTGGCTTTTCAATAGACTGTGCAATGACCTCCACTTCAGTACTTTCTTTCGAGAACTGTTTCAAACCAGTAGCTAATGAGTCATATCGTGGTTTAGGGATATGCCCCAGGACTGTTTCATCAGATGCTGGTCTCTTAATGTCTCCCGATACACTCTTTAATGCAATGCCGTACTGTTTGGAAGCGACCTCCTTCTGTTCTTCAGCCAGTGAATAGCATGTTCTATCTGAAACGTCCCGAGATTTCTCCTCCGTCAAGAACGCTTCTTCTTGTTGCAGGGCATTAGTAGACAACACATTTTTTTCTACCGAGTTCTCTCGTTCCCTTAACGTAACGTTGGTATGTGCACTAGGTCTAGTTTGCCAAAGTCCATGGATGAAGTGTTCCGTACTCTCTGGCAGACTGGTATTAGAAAGCAGTATGATTCCGTCATTTATACTGGTAACTGCTGACGCTTCCTCTTCCACTGAAAAGAAGGACGTAGTTCCTTCAGCCGACGTATAAGCAGCAGACCTCGCTACCATAGCTTTTTTTTCTACAGGAACATCGCTGATAATTTTCGTCGATTGGAGTATTGCTCCTTCTTTTTCCACATTTACTAACCCTTCAACATTAGCCTTGCAAGCCGCCTTCGTTCCCTTTTCCACAGCCAAATTTCGCTGAGTATCAAACTTTATAAGTGCACCGCCAGATTCTTCCATTGGTGGTTCAATAAAACCTAATGAAGCTGCCATTTGAGCCTCACTCTGACCGAATTCTCGTAAACTTCCGGCCACTTGGATTATGTTGAAATCTTTTTCTGTAGTCAGCGCATTTTCCACCAATGGTGATCTTTGATAACTTGTCACCACTTTTTGGTGATCAGTGATGAATGATCTTTGGTCTTCTTCTTTCTGAATAAGTGGAAGTACCGATGATACCATGGTACTAGGCTTCGCTTCAAAATCGATATCTGAGTGGATCATTTCATCCGCACTTGACTTTGCTGAAAAGCCAACGTCAATGGTTTCCATGCCAACTCCACGGAATAGTTCCTGACAAGTTGCCGTAGAGATGCGTGAATCCCAAATTCCGTATGTTGAATGTTCGCTGGCTTCTTTTCCAATAACTTTTGCGGCTTGCATATTTGATATTGGCAGTGATAGTCCGGTACTGTGAGAGATGGTGTCTTTCGTGCCTCTGAAATCAACATTGGAAGCTTCTTCTGATGGAGCTGTAGTGGAAAATGCGATATGACCTTGATGATGAAGTGCTATATGCTTAGATATTTCTCCAATAGCACTTTCTCGTTTGATTGAACTTGATTTTTCAACCAAAGCATCACTGCTTGCTGTCAGTGACCTCAGCTGCTGCAGTCGACGAACGTCGACTACTTGAATAGAAGCTCCATCGATCTCAGATTGTTTTGGAGTCAAAAAACCAAGAGCCCCAAGTGTGTCGGCATTACTCGAACCGAATTCGTACATAGCTGCTTTTTCCGTTTCTCGCGGAATATCCATCAAATGGTATGAAGTAAATGATTTGACGTCATCTTTAGCGAGATGATAATCACTCTTTTGTTGCTCAATGTTGAAAACTCGGCCAGCACTGTCATACTGGTTCAGATTGGCGACTGAGAAGGCGTCAGCCGAAATCCTGCGGCTAAACTCTCCTGTCGTCTCCATTTCTAGTTCCAGCGGTGCGTGAATTGAATTAAACAGGTGTTCCTGGTTGGATTCAACCAGTGATAATACAAGGTTTGCATCCTTAACATCCGAAGTCTTCCACAACCCAAAAGAGCTCTCATCTTGAGTTTCCGATGCTTTCTTCAATGCAGCGAGTTTCGCTATTTCGGCATGTGTCTTTTTCACACCGCATGTCTGATTTTCCATGCAAAATTCGTATCGTGACGTATCTCCCTCTTCGTGCGTTGCCAGTGCTTTGGAAGTAACTTGTTCTTGAAGCTTTTTTACGAACGTAGCTTCTATCTTTTCTGATCTGTTCATATGGATATAATCCGTGCGTTCCAAAATCTCTTCTTTTGTTGCCAAAATTGTTGCCGTATCAACGAGATGCCGATCTTCTGGTATCGAGTACTCTTTAGCTGCATCTGCTTGTGGTTTAGGTTGGAGGTGACCATAGGAGACAGCCGTCCCAGTTGTTTCGGAATCAAGTTTTTGAGTCATGGTCAACTTTGACGGCTCTGTAATGTTTCCAAATTCATTCACTATGCTTGGGTACTTTTCGAAGTGAGTTGTTTGCGAATACCTATTGATCTTAAGTCCTTTGGGGATATTTCATTTGTGCGCTATTACTAATAATTTTTAACACAGTATGCTTACAGAGCGTCAAGGACTTGCTTAATTTTCAATTGTAGCTTGCTCAGTCTTGCTTGTGCTGTATTACTTTTCCCTTGTTCTCTAATTCCTTCGTCTTCTAACACCACATTTTTCATATTCCATAGGAACTAGAATCGCTTCCATTTCATTTTTATAATTCGATTTGCTGTCACATACGTACCAATTAGTCCTTGCTGAAAATCTACAGGTTCGGATAAATTCTCTAACAACATACTTGGTAGCTGGAAGTCGAGCTTACCTTTTTGGAAATATACAAAGCGGTTTTTATAGTACAGGAGTTTTCTTCATTCGTAATCCTTTCGATTGGTTGATCTAGGGGTGTTTTTCCCCTACGCATTGAAATAGACTTTTACAAAGCCACTTGCTCCATAAGAATGTATTCGTGGCCAGAGTAATTTCAACCATTGCTTGTTCCTCACAACTGAGGAACTGCTGGTCTGATATTTCTTCAATATATTTGATAAAGAACTGCTCAAAATCTTCGGCAGTTTCTTTTCTCGGTTGCATAACCAGTAACACTTTAGTGAAAGTGGCAACATACGGGGGTTCCTATGCGGAAGAGCCTTTTCAGTATTTGAGAAGCCATTAAGTGAGATATTTACGGTCACTTCCGTAGCAGCTCTTCCAAATCGGAATTCCGCTTCTTATCAGACGACAGTGCCTTAGGAGGTTGTGGTTTTTGTCATTGAAACCTTCAAAAGCCGTTTCATAATCTTTTCAACGTTTCTGATGCACAGTTTGTCTCATCAGATGTTTGGTGTGAAATTTCCTCTTCAGCTGGAGCTTGCGGTGATCTTTTGCTTAACAATCACATTTGTCACAACGGTTTCCAAAGACGTCAGCATGGTTTAGAGTCTAGTGATCAACCAGATTGGCTCAGTAGCCCGTCACAGTTGACAAATGAAACGATTGTTAATTTAATTAGTGGTAGTTGCGAACACCTTCTCAACATCAACTACAACAAGATCTAGCCGATCTTAAATAATCTAGTGCATAACATACATAGATATGATTTTCTAAGTCTTCTTTCGAAATAGAAATCACTTTCGATTTTTCTATTTTAATCACTTTGTATGTGACTTACCTTGAGATTATTTTTTCTACTTCCCACAAAATTTCATTAACTTCCTAATCTCGAAATGTTTTCTATCGCTCTAATTATTTCACCAACTCAAGAAAGGAGGTAAAAATGGTTTCACTGTTTCCGTAAAATAGCTCTCACATGAATCTTGAGGTGAATTACCGCCTGAACAAACTCTAGAAAATTGAAGGAAATTAAAGTAATCGTCATTAAGCTAGGGCGAAAATCGCATCCATGGAAGTGCTTTGTTTTGTTTCTTTAAACCCAAAAGTGTTATTCATGGCGCGGACTGAACGCTCACGAAACTGAAGACGTTACCGCTTCATCGTTTTCGGTCTTCTTGGTCGTCTAAACTCTAAACTCCATGCGATGACAACTGTGCTGAAACCCATGTTTCCAATATTTGATTGTTCCTGATCGCAAATGCCTTAGCAGTGGTATCGAAACGTAGTTCCTGTACCTCGTTCAGAATTATTTTCAATCCGTCCACTGCTCTATCTTACGGTTTCTAGTCCAACCTGTTCGTAAAGCATTGATGTCTGAGCTGTTAAATTTTAGCGTTTTCTTTGTAAAACGCGTACACTCTACAGAATTCCTTCACGATTCTGAGTTTGTCCTCTGCATAATCCCAGTGTGTTCCCGCGATTATTTCCACTTCCAATTCTAAGACCACGTAAATTATTGATCAAGGCGTATAGATCTAGATTCTATACGCCAAACTGTCAAAGGTGAGCCGGACACTTTATACTTAGGTGCGACAATCGATGGACATGAGCCGTTAGTGACTTAATTCCTCGGGATGTCAAGCGTACTACAGAAGGACCACGAACCCGATGTTCAGAGTTCTTCACAAGAACTCTCCAAGTAAGATATGATGCTCGACGAATCCCTAGAGCGAGCAGAATCCACTGGGCTACTCTTGCACGCCACAGGGAAAAATGGAGGATTTATCGGCGCCCGCTCGAATTACTCGATGGTCAGCGGGACAACAGGTGATATAGGTGGTCGATCAAGGAGTTTCAGACAACTGTTTTTGCTTCTTCATGAAAAATTTTCTTATTATTTTCAGAAGCTAATAGAACTGTCGTTCAGCTACGAAGTTAAAAACATCACTAACCAGTGTGCACTGATTTCTCGATAACCTCCGTGACAGCTTTCACTATGCGGGAAAAAGCTGTTTTCACTAGCTTGAGTCAAATACCTGAGTTAAAATCTGAATTGCTGATTGTAGCGGTCCGTATATAAATGAGTACCCGAATTCAACCCTTGAAAGTTCAAAGTTGAGATGCTCGACAATCCCAGAAATCCCTGCTTCGTCTTGGTACCTTCCACGCAGTTCTCCTCATTCCATTGTTTGCTCAATGGTTGCCATTAATGAGATGATATAACTTCCATTGACTTCTATCAAAAAAGTTTAATTTTGCCAGAACTTGAAAAGAGGCTGTTGGAGCTTGCGGATTTGCACCTTAACTGCCATCTACTCCATCCCCATCATATGAGCTGTGTCCACTTTGTTCTTTGCGTATAAGTGTTCTAACATGAGCGGTTTTTCCTCTTTTATATAATTCACAAAATAGAAGCTTATACTTCGCCGCTAATGGTAAATTATTGCTTTGCTTCCTTAAAGTGTAAAGGATAAAGCTCTCGGCGCTGATCAATCCCTAAGGAATGCGCCATGCATTCGACATCATTAAGCATCGTTGGAGGTGATTGAATGCATATCTTGCCTTGACTCGCGGTGGCCTACCGTTGTATCGAGTCACTGCTGCTATCCTCCCGGACAAATCTGGTGCCAGTTTACCGATACTGGATGGATGGAAGGCTTGGTGGACCAGAGGCGCGGGAATCGATCTCATGCATTTCAGGGCGCCGCGACCACTGTGCCATATGCGCTCTGTCGACTTCTCTGTCAAATCGTATAAGGTCGTGGTTAACTCTGCTACCGCTGGTTTTCTTCATTCTTGAATGCTTGCCCATACCAAACTCAACGATGACTGAGAAAGTTCAAAATTGATCGGTAATACAGTGAATTTGAAGCAAAGTTGAATCATTCTCAGTCACAACATCCTTCACCATCTTTGGTATAAAAGCATTGAAGAGCGCTGGAATCTCCATATAAAACTTCCAGAGATGGGCAAGTATTGTCAGTTGAGACTGTAACCATTTTCTAGCATTGTACGGGCTTCCAGGTATCCCATCAGATCTGTAGGTTATAATTGTTTGTGTTATGCAGTGATGCTTAAATGGGCACCACACTGATTTTGTTTCTACCTTATGCATAAAATAACTGCTTCTATGAGGTTGTAACCACGTGGTCATCTTCTCATCAGCTCAGATAGTATAGGCCTCTCACTAATTTATGCCGTCTGAAGCTTTTCATGGTTTTTATGGCTTTCCATCTTGTCGATATTATTTTTCAATTCCGTTGAAAAACAGTTCTTGAAGGGTGAAAAAATATAAAGCTCTGGGTATTGATCACTTTCTGAGTGATGCATTCAATGCGTTAGGCATTGGACTTCGTCAATATTTGGTTCTAGAAAATATAGAGAGCCAAATTTAGATGCGCTTTCGTTGTCGGGTTGGTAAAATAAGTGCTCAATAAAATTTTGAATGTTTCCGATGCTTCTCATGACTCTCGGTGTCCCTAATTCCTCTTGTGTTGTTGTTATTGCTGAAGGGTGCTCTACGGAAGCAGTTAGGGCTTGTTGTACGGTGACTTCCATTATAGAAAATCCACTATGTCCTCTATATATAAAGTGAAATCCATCTTCAATTCACATCGTTTTTTGTTAGGAACTGCATACTTCTTTTTTACACATCTGCTCCGATTCCGCAAAGGTAGAATAAAAAGGTTGGACTCGTCTTCTATGGTCACTTTATTTACTCCCACATAGATGTCTTCGTTGGAAATCTACCTTCTAAATACTTCTAAGACTTCGCTTAGTGTCGAGAATTTATTATCTAAAGTTGGTGGGCCAATGGTAACAAAGTAAAGATCTTTGCCTTCTATTCAATCCTCGCTTAGAGCTACCATATTAAGAGTAATAGTGGTATGCTCCCTCTCAACGGTTCACCGCCTCAACGTGGCTGGGAGGTGTTCCTTGGTGTTGGGCTGCGATGTACAGCGAGGGAATTCATCCCCCAGCAGGATATTTCAAGCTGAGAAGGAGTCCCGCTTTTCCATTAGGAAATCCAGCTAAGAGTAAACCAATACAAGGATCCACCACCGTCCTGGTATCAAACTAGTCGCATGGTGGCAAATCTGTCTTTGATCTACAAAGGCCAGAGACTGCTTCTGGTGGTGACCACCTGAGGCAAACTTTGGCCAGGCTGATCCTGAGACTCCAAGGAGCCACAATGGCTAGACCAGCAAAACTCCGAAAAAACAGAAATTATGCTGGGCCCGCACAACTAGATATGCCATCCAAGTATCCAAGTGGTATGATCTGTCTACGTTGTCCTTTCTACTCTGTGGCTGCTCGTCTATCCCGTTATCCTAGTCATCTTCTCTCTCTCTCAAAAGTTTTCTGTTGAATTTTCATTGGTGGGTTCAAAAACTTTTGCAGCTTTCTTGTCGTTGCCCTTGCTTGCTTTTTCTCTTGGAACGTTGCTAATTTAAATGTTTGAGTTTGAATATGCTTCTATTTTATTACCATTTCTAATGTTTATGTATGGTACCTATTTCTTCCTAATCTATTGTATTCTAGTTTTGCACAGAAGTTATATTCCTTATTCAAATGCGATTAGTTCCTTGTTGTTAAGCACATTCATACCTATAGTAACCAAAATCCACTACTTTTCTAAATCCATTATTAAGAAACTAAAGTATCATTAGCGTATACCCGGAAGACACTAGATTTATGTAAGGGTTTACTATCTCTAGTTATCACCTTCAAATCTATTTACGACTTTTAACGATCTACAACTACAAATTCCACACTATCAGCTATACCTTTCGCAAAGGTAGTTTCTGTAAAGGTGGACATATCCTACGAGCGTGCAAATTTAGTAGACTACGCTGAACTACATATGCTTTACTATACATTAGGACTGTTGAGGATAAGCACATTAGAGCAGTAAGTTGCATTTCGTGCAACAAATGCTTACCTGTAGTGTCGTCCTCGACAGTGGTAGTTCGTGCGATTGGTGCAAACTCGTCCCTACACTCGACCTGTCGGGTGTGCCGCTCGAACCTTTCCGAGGTGTCCACTACTTCTTTAGAAAGTTGTTGTTCTCGAATTTGTCGTATCCTTTCGCCGACATATATACCAAGGGCGGCCATTGCGAAATTACCAAGAACTCGTTTGTACAAAAAGTACACAGTAACGTCGGCTGTGTCGTCTTTTCGACGTATACGCATATCTTGATGAAAATTTTCATCGTGTAATTTTTGTTGCTCAGAAAGCTTTGAGAGAAGGAAGGAGGCGGATATAAGAGTGGCCTGTGGCCATGCTATTTGAGTTTCACCGCAAGGTGGCAGCATAGTTTTATAATTGGTGAGGTGGAAGCTTTTGTTTGTCGTACGAGTGTCTACGTCTATGAGAAACCCACCTGTGACCGCTTCGGCTAGCGCGGCCGATGTGCTCCCGTGTGCTCCGCCGGTGTTCTTCAGCATCACGGCGCAGTGTTGTTGATCGTGTCCATACTCGGCAACGTGTGTTGTCGTCTCCTGTCGATTGCGATCGCTAATTTTAATGGCGGCCGTTTGTGTGACTGCTCCTTTGCTTAACATTAGCGTTGCGTTTATGATACGGCTTTCGGATGCCCACGAACGGAACGAAGATGATGATCTATTTGCTGTCTTGATGTTCGCTTGAACAACGATATCTGACGGAAACGATGACTGCTTCTTCAAAGCATACTGAGCTATAAGACAGCTGTCTGATGCAGCACGCGTCCTGAGAAAATCACTCCCAACATGTTTGTCTCTCGCCACCGTGTCGGCATATTGATCTTGTATACCAGGCGTTTTATGAAGGTATATCACACTAGTAGCATGTTCCAAAGACATTTCTTTAAGTTTTACTGCGTTCCTAATGGTGTTCGGTGTTTTTAGGGAACTCTCAAATCCCAGCATTTCTCCAGAATGACTCAACAAGCTGTTCAACGTTATATACTCAAATTCTGCAGCAGCGGTGAAGAAACTTGCTCCATGTCGGTTCTTTTCTCGTCGCAAAACCAGAGCTTCTCCGATGGCTGGAACAGTGTTTTCAAAGTTGTATAACATCATCATCTGCTCCTCCATAGCCTCGCGGAGACTGCACTCTACTTTCACATGAGTAATAGCAGCCAAGTTTTGCTCAACGCCGTTTTCTTTCTCTTCTGGTTTGGCGAGATTTTGCAGACTGATAGTTACATACGAATACTGCTCACTGAGCTCTCTTCCAAAGAAATTTTCCCTCCACATCAACTTCGTCTTCATAACAATTGAAACCTCCTCAGCGTTGACCTTAGGGAGCGAGAATGCTGAGTTCACTTCGCAAGATTCTCTCTTCACTACGGCTCGCTTTATAGATATTGCTTGTGGTTCATAAATGTTTGAGGTCTCAAAAACGACGTCGAAGAATGAGTGGGATTCTTTCTTGATCAAGTCTACTGTCGTTGGAGAGCCACGATTCCACTGTATAGACTCTTCAGACTCTGATTCATACACTCTGCCCTCGCGGTGGAATGTCTTTTCACCCCTTAGTGTCACTCCGTGTATTTCCATCGCGTATTGTCCACCTTGAGCCTCTCTTTCCTTTATAATCATGGTCTTTGTTAGTGGGAGTTCTTCAGAAGACTCAGAGTCAACGGCCCTTTCGCGACGTTTAATCACAATATCCCCGACCAGTTTTTGACCTCGTAGTTCCATCTCATATTTCCTGCCATCTGCTTCTGTTTCTTTCTCGCTTCTCTGAGCTAGGACTTCTTGGACGCGTGCTACTGGGAGATCGTTTTCGCCATGTTGTATAAGTTTCTTTCTTTCGTCTACGATAGTTTCTACTTGTTTAGACTGTCTTAGTGAAGATTCGCTCTCAAACTGTTGTCCGCTTTGTGTGGTGGCAATCGATCTAGAGAACTGCTCATGTTTTTGAGCACGTCTCCTAGTTAGAATCATCGAAATCGTTTGTATCAGAGGAATAGCGATGTAAACAGTGAACGTGGAACTGTCTTCCCTTTTGGCTAGACAACAATCGGCGCCAACATTCGCGCATCTTGTCTTCGATATGATTACATCAGATTCGTCGGATTCCAGTCGACGAACTCTTTTTAGCGCTCCTTCTCCTTCAAAATGGCGCCCTTCTTTTAAGAGATTAATCTCAGCTTTCTCTAATTCGTGGCTTCTGTCTTCCACTGTCAATGTGTCTACATAAATCTTCTCAACCTTCATTTGTTCGATTGGTGAAGGTGTTCGATCCACGTGTTCTTCATAGTGAATTGCATCAATCATTTGTTCCTCCAAATAATCATCAGCGCGTTCTCCAATCACATACGTCTTCAAGATATTGGTGACATCCTCGATGATTTCCACTTCAACGTGTGTCACGGCACTCACGGCATCTGCATCCTCACGGAGGTCCTTGAGAAGACGCTGACCGACTTCCGTTAAATAGTCCTTCTTGTTCTGAAAGCAAAGCGGTAATTTATGATGACACGTCACATCATATAACATGGCAAAGCAAGCAATATGTCCATCTATTTGCAAGAATATATAAATATCACTCCAAATATCAGCACTTTCCTACATGCATTAGTTATTTAAGCTTCGTTAGAGAGAAGTTGTAAATATATTAAATTTAGGAACATTTGTGATTGTGTTCAATGCTGTGCTTATATTTATGCTTGAGCTCAACAATTTAAACCCATTTGTGCTTTTATTAATACTTCAAAGCGTACGGTTAGCGCAATGGTTAGAAATGTCATTCAAAGCACTCGGGGCGTTTGGTTCTATCCCACGACTCAAGCAAACGAAAGGTCCATCCCCAGAGTGTCGGAAATTTGGAAGCAGACTTGTTTGTAGGGATAAAAACACCGATTTGATGCATATGTAGGTAGCGCTAGTCATTGTATAGGCCAAATATTTATTTAATCACCTCTACAATTCTTAATGGAATCAAAAAGGTATCGAGCGCTTTATTCTTTTACCCTGTACTTACTAGAGTTGGGTTGTGTAACACCAGTCTGAAGGGTCTTCTTTTTTGTCTCCATAGACATAAAGGTAAATCAAACATGATAAAAACCCTCAATGCCATTAGAATCCTACAGATTTTTTTCGAATCGACACGTCATTTCATTTCAGGTAGAACAGACAGGATCAGTCCACAGCAACGAATCCAGCTTATCTACTTGTCATGTGCTTTTACAATTAACTTTAAACTGTTCTGATGTCATGCGCCTTTTGACGATTTCGAACACAGTAAACGCATGAAATTTTGAAGAATCGACGTTTAAAACATGGAGCACAACGAGATCCTCAAAAACTATGGAAGTCACTTTAAACTGGTGTTTCCTAATAAAAAAAGTAAAAGGATAAAGCTCTCAGCGTTTATCAATCCCTGAGGGATATACCATGCATTCGACCTCATTAAGCATCGTTGGAGATGATTGAATGCATATTCGGCCTTTTCATTGGCTCGCAGTAGACTACTGATCTATCGAGCCAGTGTTGCTATCCTCTTAGACAAGCCTGGTACCAATTTGCCGACCCTAAATGGATGGAAGTTTTGGTGAGCCACGGGCGCCGGGATCAATCCCATATGTGTGTCCCAGGGTACCTCCGACCACTGTGCCACACGCGCCTTTTTCCTAATAAGAAGCCTTAATCGGCAAAGCACTTTAGTTTCGTTTTCTAATTGGCAAGCACAAAAAGATTTTTGTTGTCCTCATATTTCAGTCACGATACGAAAAAAAAAACGTAGTTTAACATACTTTTTCGCAAGGAAAATTGATTTCCCGAAGTAAATAAATCTCACTGTATGATTATCTATTTTGGAAAACAAATTTTTGGTCAGTTATGAAAAATCATTAAGAGCATTTGACACCAGCTAACACTACGAAACTACGAACCATGAATTCCGGAACTTCTAGAGTCGCTTCTCTTTCCATTTTTGTCTCGCCGTTTTCAATTAAAGTGATCTTAAACTTTGAGTGTCCGTCTTTCATCTGAAACTGCGAATATGGCACTATTCGTATGACTTCATATCGTCCCACATACCTCTTCCAAAATCAGACTTTTCTTTCCTATGGTGGTTTTGATCTGAAACGATCCACATTACTGACATAATTTTCGCCTCCAATAAACATTATTTCATAAAAGCTATTAGTACATACGCTACTATGCATAAAGAACAAGTAGACTGATTATCCTACCAACGGTGTACCGTCTCATCGTGGCTGGGAGGTGTTCCAGGGTGTCGGGCTGCCATGTAGAGCGGGAGGATTCATCTTTCCTGCAGCGTCTTCCAAACTAAGAAGTCCGACGATTCCATTAGAAAGCTCCGCTAAGAGTAAACCAGTACCAGGATCCACCATCGTCCTGCTATCAAACTAGGCGCACGGTGGCAAATTTCCCTGCTCCACAAGGGGCGACTGCCTGTGGTGGTGATGACCTGGGGCACACTTTCACTGGGCTGTCCTCGAGACTCCAGAGAACAGCAATGGCTAAACCAGCGAACCTCCAAAGAATGGAGATTTTGTTGAGGCTCGCACAACCAGTGAAGACAGGTTATTTTAGTACCCAAGGAAATAGGTATCCAAAGATTCGTTATGGCAAAATAAACAGCTGGAAGGTAAATGCATTGAAATGGATGCGTATTGTCTACTTTACCTATTAACGTATTATATTGGTATCAATGCATGACACTACTTGTGTGTTTTAATTAACTGTCGCTTCAAATGCAGTTTACTCTATTTTGATGATTCAAAACAGTACCTTATAATTGGTTACTGTATCACGCACAGTCCATGCACCTGATACACAGCTGTCGACCGTAATCAGGTCGGCTCCCACGATTTTTTCCATCTTCAATTTTCCTTCAACTGTCGTTCGTACCTTAAAATGTTATACAATCAAGCCCCAACATTATAAAGGATAAACACTATTCTTTTATAAAGAAGTTATAACTATTATATGTTCAACATATGACACAACACAAAATTCCCGATGAAATACGAGTGTTATGCTCCTAAAAAGTACAATAAGTATAAGTAGTCGCTTTCTGAAGAATATATTTAGCTCTAGCAAATTTATGTGACTCAGTATTTTTTGCTAAAAATTCTCTCATACTGGTAACCATTAGTTCAGAATGGTTCCTTTTGCTCACCACGGGAGGACCATGTTTCTTTTGTTCGTAGTCGATGATGGTTTCGGTGCGTCTGGTGCTCATTGGTGACGTCGTGGGCGTCTGATATTCTAGAAGAGGTTTCTCCCGTCCTAGTTGTAGAGGCGGTGAACCCAGTGGAGAAGACAGTCCACGTGATAACGATGATCCCATGGGTGACTCTTCCATGTGCGCATTAAGCGGTATCGGGTAAACGACACCATTCATCTCTTCGGTGGCACGACGAGGCTGCGGAGCACTGAAGCCATATACCTAAATCGGTAACCGTATCAAAAAATGATAGCATAGAACTTTACGAAGCAACAGACTAATGTTAAAACATTCCACACTTTTTTGTCAATTCTGTTCGCTTTCATTCGCGAAACTAATGCGAAGAAATTAGTGTTGTTAGAGAACTCGTGAAAAAATACTTGGAAAAATAACATAAAAAGGATAAAACTCTCGGCGCTGATCAATCCGTAAGGGGTGGGCCATGCGTTCGACTTCATTAAGCACCGTTTGGAGGTGATTGAATGCATATCTGGCCTTTACAATGACTCGCTGTGCCCTACCGATGTATCGAGCCAGTGCTGCTATCTTTCCAGACAAGTCTGGTACCAACTTACCGACCCCGGAGAAATGGAACGCCTGGTGGGCCATGGGCGCGGGGATCGACTCCACGTGTGTGTTGCAGGGCGCCTCCAACCACTGCGCCCCACACGCCCTTGGAAAAGTAACATAGCAGTAACAATCTCACTTTTACCTCTAAATCCGCTAGAAAAATGTAGAGTTAGAGAAACATACATTTGTCAAACAGATTAATCGGTGATAATTTTCACCAACTTGTTGTTCGTCACGAGCTTCGGCGACGCCACTTCGAATCTGCATTTCATTGCGTCGAATCGCCTCCGGTGAGAGGCCGCTAGCGCGCTCTCGATTCCCCTTCACACTACCTAGCTGTTGACGTGAAGCACGAGTGACGTCCTGGTAATCATCTTCTACAGCCCAGTTAAAAACTTGATCCACACGTGCACGACCACTAGCCTATAAGCAGAACTCGTTCTATGAGCATTACCGCTTTAAATATACTAGATTTGAATTCTAATTCTAAGTGTATTTATCGTAAGCCACAGATCGTCTTCATTTAAGCTCGACACGACCAGTCGCAATGCTAGGCGACGTATTCTAAGATTGCCCAAATATGGTTAAAAGGAAGAACAAAAGTGACCTAGCATTTTTCCTAAGACGCAGGATAACGAAAAAAGCGTTCGACGCTGATCAATACCTTAGGGATACGCTATGAATTCGATTCTATTTAAGCACAGTAGATGTGATTCAATGAATATTTGGACTATGAAATGATCTGCGGAGATCTATAAACGTAGTGAGTCATTGTTTTATCCTCCCAAACAATTCTAGTACCAAGTTGCCAGCCGAGCGAGATGGACGACTTGATGAGCCCAGGCTCGGGAATAAACCAGCGATTGATGTGTATTGCAAGGCACTTCTAGCTACTATGCTACACGTGGATTCATGAAGCCGAGATACGTTTTGTAAATCAGGTGCGTACAGAGGATGAACTGCTTATTAGTCTATCATCTGGATATAATTGTATTCACACCAATACAGATGGATGTGCACCATATCTACGGGCAACGTGCTCTGTACCACAATTCGGTGAAGGACTAAAATAAAGTGAATCAAAGCATTGCAGACGGTCTGAGTTGCATCCAACAAATGAACCCCGGTATCCATTCCGACAAAACCCAAGAAGTTATCCATAAGTATTCTCAGCGTCTTAGGGAGTAGCCTGCTATGCTGTCTACGTGTATCTTCTCGGCCTCAAACAGGAAGTGTGGTTGCCTTCTGCGCACCTCGAAGGTGTGGATAGTATTAGGAAGCCCTGAAGCAATGCACTGGTAACGTCGAATAATGATTTTCTGACGCTCACTCAAGTTATTCATTGATTAACAGGATGCAAATAAAAAATTTCTTACCCCAGTTCGAATCACCTTGTTCACAGAGCTGGTGGAAGCGGCTTTAGGTAAATAATCAGCAGTTGGATTAATCCTAAAAATTACAAAATCATATGAAGTATTCCTACCTTCTAAAACCGCTAAATTCCTGTTCTTAAACAATTATTCACGTGGAACCATGTATTTCTTCTATAGGTTTTGGGAAGGGAGTTAAACCGAGAACCAAAAACGACCATGTGCTTTCAAGAAAAGAACTTTCATTTACGAGATGAGTCACTATTGTTTCCGCTAATCCGAATTGATATGTACCTTTTGTATGCATGGAGACATGTTCATGCATGCGTATCAACATTGTCTCCTTCAAGTCGATTCTGTCAAGAGCTTGCATTCAAGTGATTACGAAGAACACAGGTGGCGATTCGGGCTAACTTTTAGCTAAAGAGCTTCACTTCTATTCCAGGACGCTCCGACAAACCACACATGCAGCCTTTACTAGTCGAGAGCTCATTGGTAACTCTCCATTGGTGAAAAAGAATAAGCTTAAAAGGTTTGTACAAAAATGAATGCGATTCCCGTGTTTCAGTTCGACGAAGCCCAATGGCGCAGCCCGACAGATGACAAGAAATGGAGACTGCTGGTTTCCTCTAATGTGTTTCCCCTCGTGTAGTACTTTTCCCATGATATGTATAAGTGCATCTCTATTCCACTCAAAACGACTAAGTATTCCTTAACACATGTCTTGGTTTTTTCCACAACTAGCCAATAATTCTTCGATATATATAGAACTTGGAGAGACTTGCGACGATTGAGGACATAGAGAGAATGCGCGTTATTTTCTAAAGGGGAATGCATGGAATTTTTCTGAAGTGGCATTTTCTATGGTTTTAATAAAGTGTACCCAGAATAACGTTCTAAAATTTCAACGCGAGCGTAGAAGCCGTTTGCATTAACGACTTATTCGAACATACAATGATATCTCGCTGGATGAAAACCCGCTGGTACAGCCAATTTGATATCCGCAATACCAAAGCACAATGGCAAATCTTGAGAACGGCTATTCGTTAGATCAAAGATCCTAAGTGTGCACCTCATTGGAAAGACTTTCTAGATCTGTTTTCTTTTGTATTTAAATTTATTTTGCACCATCCGACATCACACATTGTCTTGATCCCAGCACTTCTTGCATTCGACTAGCATCCATCATCGACCAAGGTCTTCGGGTTTGCGAGTGCACTCAGCTGCTACTAGGCGATTCTTGTTTTCTGAATGTCGTTTCGTACTGGTTCAGTTGATTACCATGTGAACCCAAGGACAGCTGCATTAGAGTGTTCGCAGATCTTCAGCATAGACACTTGCGCATCTTTCTGAATTGGCGAGATCGAGTTGCTCCGAGAGAAGTCTGGTGCCAATACTCTAAGTCCTAAGGATGGGGGGCTTGGATGTGCCGATTGGAGTTGGACTAGGGTCTTACATATATGGAACGGCATCACTATCACTGCTCCAACTACGATCTTTTCAATTTGATTAATGAAGTCCACTATAAGTCGACATATGTTTGTTTAAAAAGTAAAGAACAAATGATTCTCACTAACATGTGAAACATATAGGCTCATATTGCGACGAATTTGCTGATGTCCAATACATGCCAAAAGCATCATAGAAGCGAAAAATAGCCATACTTTCTTTAGGCCCATGCACACTGAAGACAACCGAAAGTGGTTGGTGATACCTTTTCAAATCTATGCTTACTTGGACACTTGGATCCACTGTCTCCACTCGTTGTGCGGGCTTCAGCATAATTTCCATATTTGCCGCATTAGCCATTGTTGTTCTCTAGAGTTCCGATGTCAGCCAACCAGAAGTCCTCCACAGTTCGTCACCACCTCAGGCGGTCGCCGCTCTTGTGGATCAGAGAGAAATTTACCACCATGTGTGACTACTTCAACACTAGGACGGTGGTGGTTACTCCTAACCGGGCTTCCTGATTAAAACGCCAGACTTCTTCTTAGCCTGGGAGACCCGGCCGGGCCTATGAGTCCCCTGGTGTATATCGCAGCGCGTCACCTAGGAACACCTCTCAGCCACGACGAAGCGATAAAGCGTTGGGGTGTTTAAAGCTATAATATGTGGAGATCTATGATTGGTTTTGGTATCATGCTATAAGAAATATAACTTTACCTCTTGGAGGACGTGAATGTAATAGGAGTAGCTAGATTGTCAGGCTCAGAACTGAGCTTGAGCAAATCAAGAGTCGCTTCATCGAGCTGCGTCAATGACTCCTGGGTGCTTCGCGGACCATAGCCACGTGGATGGCCGATGGCTAAATAATGAATTTCCTACGGATATTAACAATTGATTGATCAATATCGACTAATCAACTAAAACTTAGCATTCCATAGTTCTATTTGTTAATTGGATAGATTCTAAGGGTATAACGATTATACACGTATATATATGTATATATATATATATATGTATATATATATATATATATACGTATAGAATAAAAGGATAAAGCTCTTGTCGTTGATCAATCCCTGAGGGATGTGCCATGCATTCGACTTCACTAAGAATCGTTGGAGGTGATTGAATGCATATCTGGACTTTACAATGACTCGTGGCGGCCTACCGATGTATCGAGTCAGTGCTGCTATCCTTCCAGACAAGTCTGGTACCAACTTGCCGACCCCGGATGGATGAAGACTTGGTGAGTCTGGAGCGCGGGGATACATCCGAGCGCGCCACGCCTCGCTACATTATAGGTATTGGAAATAAAATAACTGTCATTCAATTAGCATTCAAATTACCCGTTAGCGAATTCGTTTGAAAAAAGTGTTTTGCATATTTTCAAGTGCAAGCTTTATTCGACTGACCCGTTACAATATCTATATTGCATAAGCCACAAAAAATGCAGCAAAAGCCCTACTTGAAGAAAAATAACCGAAAAGATAATAAATCATATATGACTTGTCTCAGCCACCTCAACCCTCAAAGCGTGAGACACGTGTGTGCTGCAGGGCGCCTCCGACCACCGCGCCACACGCGCCGCATATATATGTATATATGTATATATATATATATATATATATATATATGGATGTTAAGTGGATTTTAGCACTTTAGCTATTCTACTAGACAAAGAATTCCGTTAATTCAAAGTGATTTGTCTGAAAGAAAGTGTGTAGAAGGATAACCCAAAAATGGAAAGTTGAATGGAAAAATGGAAATTTTCTAAAGAAAACTGGGCCAATAACAAGAATAGGGTGTGGAATGAAAAAAATCAAATCAATGAAGGACTGGACAATACCTCGCGGTCGATACTGCATTTGTGCTCTGTCAGCGAATATTTGTGCTGATGGATCCTCTGTGAAGCGAACGTTACGTGGTGACGCTGGCATAGATGCTATAAATATGTGTGCTGATTAAATTCGATGAAATAGATCGATACGCAGTGGAAAGGTAGTACAGGATATACTTATCAATAAACTTTCGTTTTTGTCGAAGAAAAGTAGAGTAGAACTACTTAGGAATAGAGGATATACGACAAAACGTTCGACGTGCAATTTAGTTTCAACCTCTGGACAGCGTATTTGATAACGCCTCTTGATCTTTTATCATACGTACCGTTCTCTTATCCAGATTTCAGGGGTGTGGCTTAATGTGGTGAGTAGAATGAAAGGATAAAGAGGATTTGTTATGCCCTCGACTTCATTCAACATTTTAGAGGTGACTGAATGCACATTTATCTCATACAACGACTTAAGCGAACCTAAGCGTGTATCAACTAAGTGTTTCTATCCTTCTGAATTAGGTTGGTTACAGCTCTCCACTCCGCAAAGGACGGATGGTTTCGTTAAGCTGGGTGCGGAGTCGAACCAACGATTAACGAAATAGCAACAAATAGAAAAGAAATGGCAGAGGCCACTTTTGAAATTATCGTGATATATACGCTGCTGCTTTTTTTTCCTGGGATATATCTTGTTCTCCATTTAAATGAATTAATCATTCACGAAAATTCTTACGATATAAACCCCTAGACATCTGTATACTAACTTGGTCAACTTTGAAAATAAAGTATTCTCACAAAGTATTCTCCTCTTTTAATAACGTGTGACAGCAAGGCTAAAATCCATGAATCCTTTTTCTTCGGCCATTTCTAGCCGCAAAAAGTATTTTTTGCCCAGTAAAATAAAACTGGGTGGATTGTCTTCAATACGCGAAAGGTAATCTTAGGAATTGGTGTTGGCCTGAAATGGTGACATTACAAACTTCCCTTCAATCTTGTAAGCTCGACGATTGCCTACCATGAAAACCTGAGAGCCCATGAACATGGGATTCTTGCGAATTCAGAGATACTCATGATCGACTAACATTATACATGCCAATGATGAAAGAAGACGAGAAATTATGAAATCACACAGAAACTTGGGCGTTTCTATAGACGAAGTTGCAAGACAACTGGTCAGAAGCTCTTGGACCGTGCTTTTCAAAACCGACCGATTTGTTTGATGAATGCATTAGAACAGTCACAGAAGATATGAAACTTAATCGTAACCTTGTACTTCCAATAATATATCATCTTGAATCTTCTATCTTCCAACGGCTTACCGCCTCATCGTGGTTGGGAGCTGATCCTGGGTGTCCTGGTGCGGGTGGATTCATCCCATTGGCAAGGTTTCCCAAGCTGGAAAAGAGCCCGACGTTTCCATTAGGAAACCCAACTAAGAGTAAACCAATACCAGGATCTTCCACCGTCCTGGCATCAAATTAGTCGCATGGTGGCAACTGTACCTCTGATCCACAAGGGCTTTGACTGCCTGTGGTGGTGACAACCTGAGGCAGACTTTGGCCAAGCTGACCTCGGGATTACAGGGAAGCACAATGGTTAAACCAGCAAATCTCCGAAAAAGTGGAGATTAGTTGGGATCCGCACAATCAGTGAGTGCGGGCCATCCAAGTATCCGACTAAGAATCTTCTACGCTAGGCGCTTTGCCTTTCAGGTCACACCGTAAAAACCAACTTTTCATAGAGTAAGTTTATCAGCAACCCTTCAAGTATTTGACGTGTCTGGGAGTTTCCCAGACACGATGCAAGAATTTAGCTAAAATTAAGAATCCTGGCTTAGCTTTGCTACAACACTTCCAGGTCTTCACAACAGGCAGTCTCCTGACATTGTGAATCTGCGATCATCCCAGGCACGTATGGTACCAATTTGCCGACCTTAAATGGGTGAGCAGCATAATTGGCCGGTCACGGAGACGAATAAGCGGCAATGCCTATATTTCATGGTATTTCTAACCGCTGCGCTTTGTTCACCTTTAGGGAAGGTGCATCGTAGAGGACGATTACGAAGGCCACACACTTGGATCATACAGCCTTTTAACAATCTTATAATAATCTCAACATAGGCATTTATATGCACAGCAAATAGTGCATTCATTCTGTTTTCGCAGCGTTCTCAATGGTGCGAAGCAGAGTAGCCGGATATTTTTATCGCACAGCTGTTGCGACTGCAGACTATCTAGGTTGTTGTTCACACCACTGCTTTGACATAAACAATTCTTTATGGAATGTACACTCAAACATAAGAATTCAAAGTCAAAAACATCTCCGGAGAAGCCTTCTCTTTATGAGCCAAGGCCAAAGAGTTTTCTGCCGTGTTTGACGACCTTGGTAAACGTAAATTTTTTAGAAGAATCTATTAGCAAACCATCCAGGGCTGTCGTCACAACAACACTGATGAGTTTCTAACCTCATAGATCTGTTTGGTGAATGCTATGTTTAGCTTCCAGTTCTCCTCTTTCAAAACGTCGACCTCACTAAATCCATCCTTTTGAAAAGCTCTCTGAGCAAAGCCTCGTGTCTTTGTATTCCTTCATCTCCCTACACGAAAAGGAAGAAAATGGGCGTGAAAACATGTCATTACAGGTATGTCTTGGAGTTTCCGCCAGCACTGTAGTCGTTTTAACCACAACGTTGTGAGCACTATGAAAGACTGTAACAATGAAAGAGATACGTTTATTTTGCTTGAAACTCAAAGTGTAGCTGCTAAGTGACATCCCAAAGTAATCTCATTCTTTTCTGGATCACCTTAAAACCTAACCGGAAATATGACGACAACTTCAGGGAAGTATATTTACTACTACCATCTCTTATCGCTGTCATTCCAAACGTAGTCTCTGTATTCCGTCTTGTGACTCTTCTCCGGAAATCTTCGTTGTTTCTCTACGAATGTCTCGTTCCTTGCTTAAGAGTTAAAAATCTGACTTGTGCGAGCGCTATAGCACACCCACTAAAAGCTGTGATCAAAAGTTCGTCAACAACAAAGACTATGATTTTCTCAGCGTGAGGCTAAATCGGGAAGTTAAGACCTAAACAGCTTTAAATAAACACTTTGCAAAACCCCAGTTTCTCCCTCAGCCATGTTGTTCTGCTCCTCTATAAAATATCAGTAGAAACAGCTCCTATGGATAAAATGGACGAACGTATCTATGGATTTAACTTGCCCTGTCACTACTTTCGTCATTATAACTGTTACCATACTTGAACTATGGCAACGGAAAACGCATCATGTTTACATGTCAACCACACTGCGTTTAAAAATATTAAAATCAACTTATTTAGGGTCATTTCTGGCTATTGAAAAGGAGTATGTAGCGCAATGATTACAGCTGCCTTGCATTACATATGTGGTCGTTGGTTCGATCCAGCGCCCCGGGTTGACCAAGCCTTTCATACCTCCGCGGTCGGTATGTTGGTATCAGACTTGTCTGAGAAGATGTAAACAGTGGATCATTACATCGGCAAATCATCATAAATCATTTTAAAATCCAGATGTGCATTCAATCATTCGAAATCGATTATTGATGAAACTGAATGCATAGCGCATCCCTAAAGGGTCGATCAACGCCGAAAGCATTTGATTTTATTGTCGGAACCAGATACGGTATTACGAGGAGGGACCGTTGGTAGCGACTACTGTACTAAAATCAATTTTATTTCTACCCTCTTACTGATGAAGGAAGGTCATCACTTATAGGAAGGATAGGCGACAAAACTGCGCTGGTCACAAAATTTTGCTCGCACACTCACATTACGTCGTAGCCGGTAAGGATGAGTAAAAGAACAACGATAAAAGTAGAACATTCAGATGATTTATAAATGACGATCCACTGCATTGGTTAACACGGGCTCCATTCATATCAACAGTTGACGCTTCCGTTTTCAGTTGGCTAATTACTAATGCAAGTTACCGTGAAAAGAATGAACTGGTGGAAGGACGCGACCCCACTAAGAAATTGTGAAAAATCAATTAGAGCGCGAAAACCTGACTATACCGAATTTCTTAAACAGAACTTCTTGATAGAGGCCACCTCGATGGGAACGCAAACTGGCACCACAAAACTTGTCAGAAATTGAATTGCACTCACAAATAAATAAATAAAAAAGAAAATAAGAAAACAAACATAGAGAACAAAAAGTATAAAGCTCCCGGCATTGATTAATTCCTGAGGGATGCGCCATGCATTCGACTTCATTAAGATTAGTTTGGAGGTGACTGGATGCATGTCCGGCCTCTGCATGGCTCGCAGTCGCCTGCAGTGTGTGTTGCAGGATACCTGCGACCACTGCGCCACAAAGAGACATACGTGTGCATGTATACTCAGTACGCATATTATACGTAATGGCTTGACAGTTATAAGACTTGCAGTAAAAATGGCGATTACACAGCAAAACCCGGACTTAAATAATTCTCACCGAAGACCTTCTAGGAATGCTCATGGTAGAAAAGTAGTTCCAGACTCACATTCACGTTTTCCGAATCGTAGCCGATCTATCGTGGCGTAGTCATTCTCGTCCCGGAACGGCGACAGTGCGCGTGGCGGCGGCCACACCGTCGGCCTCTCCTGGCCGATCGTCGAACCACCAAAGCAGCGCTGAAAGCGGAATGTCACATTCTTCTACACCTTCTTAACTACACCTACAAAACATCAAACAGCACCTGCGTGGAATAAGTAGTTTTGCACCGTTATCAAGCTGCTGTTTTTCTGTAGTCATCAATCCGATAATGGACTGATGGAATCATAATTTTAGCTTTTAACCACTTTAAAAGTTAATGTGCTACAGTGGAAAGCATAAAATAAAATAAATGATAAAGTTCTCGACGTTGGTCAATCCCTGAAGGATACGCCATGCATTCGACTTCATGAAGCGTCATTTGGAGGTGATTGAATGCATATATGGCCTTTACAATGACCCGCTGTGTCCTACCCATGTATCGAGCCAGTGCTGCTCGATGGAGGGTTTGGTTAGCCTGGGGCGCAGTGATCGATCCCGTGTGCATTGCAGGGCGCCTCCGACAACTGTACCACACGCCGAGAGCATATACCACAAATA